GCAGACAAAACTGCTCACTGCACAACAACTAAGTGGTGAACAATAACAATGGTGTTGAGCAAATCAGACATAGTCTTCCTTGTTAAAAAGTGTTGGAGTTAATTTTTGCTGATATTAGTCCAAGTCCTGGCAGGGACCAGACACAGTGACTCACAACTATAATCCCAGCACTTTGGGAAGCCAAGGCTGAGAATTGCTTAGCCTGGAAGTTTGAGACCACCCTAGACAACATAGCGAGACCTTGTCTCTATAAAAACTTTTTTAAAAGAGCTAGCTGGACATGTGGCATATGCCTATGGTCCCAGAGGCTGTGGCAGAAGGATTGCCTGGGCCCTGGCAGTTGAGGCTGTGGTGAGCCATGATTGTGCCACTGCACTCCAGCCTAGGTGACAGAGTAAGGCTTTGACTTAAAAAAAAAAAACAACAAAATCCCAGCAGGGTACAGACAGCACAAATGTGGTCACTGGGAAAAGTTTACTAAAGGAGCTATTTGCAAATGGGTGGGCAGCCATAAGAGAAATCAACAAAAGATAGTGAAACATCCCAAGGCTAGCTGTAGGAGGAAGTCATTATCAGAAGGGCCAAGAGGAGAGATGGTTTCCAAACCCAGAGAGAGTGATAGCTGCAGCTAGGCTGAGAATAGGCGGCGACATTCAAAGCTTTTGGTGTAAGGCATCCAGCTACTCTCTAATTTGTAATCCTTCTGGGAGGGAACTGAGAGAGTAAATACCCTACCCCCTCACTCTTCCACCCTCCCCCCAACCTCCTGCTGATGCTCCCATTGGCCAAATCCAACCACAAATCAGAGGACAAGGAATGTGGCAAATCCAGCTAATGGAACCTGTAAAGTTTAACCTTCTAGGGCATAAGACCAAATGGAGAAGGGTAGAGAGTGAATATAAGAAGCAAACGAAGAATGTCCACACATCAAGGAAAACAGAAACCAGTGGCAACCTTTGAAAGGACAACTTAGAAAGCAAAGGAGATGAGACCGATTGCAGTGCATGGAGTGGGTAAGGAGAGATGATGAGTAACATGACCTTTTCAATTCATTGATTAGGAAAGAGGAACAAGTTACACAACTATTTTAAAGAGATCTCTGAAGTAGGAAAAGATAGTATTTTCTGGTTTGGAAAAAAACAGAATTTTTATCTGAAGAACAGAAGGATCTATTCTAGGGAGTGTCTGGAAAAAGAGGGACTAACAGATGGATCCAAAATGGGAGAGGATAGAGTTTTGAAGACAAGTAGTAGTACACAAATAATCTCAAATAGTACCAGCTGTTTACTGGAAATCATTGCCCCGTCCCCTAATAATTAGTCACTCCTAGAATGTATACTATTAAAGTAGGTTTACTGTATTATCTCCTAAGTGTGTTTTATTAAGGTAAGACTTCACCACGTTTTCACACATGACTTGAATAAATCAAGAGACTTGGTTGAAACGAGAAAACCAGATCCGTGGATTAGGCAAAGGTTAAGAAAGCTTTAAATACATTTCAAAATTGATTAACTGTTGGAATACTGTCCTTGCTAAAAATTAAAAATGTAACAAAGAGTGAATGCAATTACTTACAAATTAAATTACTTTTTATATTATTCTATTCTATATCTATCCATTTTAGTGTATTTCAAGGCAAGAGACAATGTGCTGTCTAAATTCCATCTCTAGAATTACGAGGTTTCTCACTACCATTTAAAGGGCATCTTGGAATTTTTCCAGTCTGATCTTCCTTGATTATCATGGGTATCACTTAGTAGATTGAAGACTTCAGGAAACACAGTGTTTGAACTACTAATATGCCATTAATCTCACTAGTGACATTATTTCATTTATTGTTGAAGAACCTCATTTATACTTAAAATGAGCCAGTGACACAAGAACCATGAAGAGTGGCATAGGGATGTTTACCCACCCTAAGAAGACAGCTAAAATCTCACTGTCAGTATTCATTGCCATGTAATGCCACACCAGATCATCAATATCCATCATAAAATTATCTAACCCTTTCCTAAGTGTTTCTCTGGTATTTAAAATATGCCTCATTTTAAACAGCCAACACTTGAACTAGTAAAATTATGAAAGTGTCTCTCTTCAAGAAAACCTGATTCCATTTGTAAAATGTTGTGCTACTTACAGGTTTATGGGTATGTAAATCGGAAAGCTTTCATTAGAACAGGAACCAACGCATTGATCAAATAATATATCAAACCACCCCCACATTTCAAAGCAATGTAGTAAAAGTCAGAGGTCTTTTAAAAAAATAACTGTGAACTACAAGACCCATCTGTTTCCTTTTCTCTCCCACTCCTAAAACAATAAACTAAGATAACAAATGGAATTGTGCAGGCTTTGGTTGAAAGCCTTTATCTTCAAAAGAGACCTGAGAAGGAAGACTCCACTGACCTTTCCATGTACGAATGCATATCACCTACTGAGATTTGTCTTCCTGGTTGGCTCTTGCCTACAAAAGAAATGGGAGGCTAAACTCTGCTTCAACTTGTGCAAATTAAAAGTAACCGTCGGGCTAATGGGTTTTCAATACCACTCCTTACAGAGCAAAAAATTTGTGTCCCATAAAATTAAATTACCGCCTCAAAACAGACTTTGCTAATAAATTACAACATTAAATATATTAAAGTCAAATTGGAATTCCTGCAAAACAATTCTCTGCTCCCCAAGGTAGCCCTCCAGTTACTGACAGAACTGATTGCATCTTTAATGGAGTTCTCCATCTACTTCTGGGGTCTAAAATCAAAAAAGGAAGCAGAAAAAGTTTAAAGTTGTAAAGGAGATAGCAGAAAAATTAAAGGCCAGAAAAGTAAACCAGATCTTTAAGGAAACTAGAACTACAGTTTAGAGAAATAAGTGCTTTGGTACTTTATCAAACACTAAATCTAAAGAATGTGAAAGGGTCCTTTCCTCACAGAAACTGACAAGTTTTTTTCAGTTTCGTTGGAGTACTGATCAGAAGGAAACAATTTAAAAATTGAGCATTGTAATGAGGTTCTAAGGTGGTGGCTCTTGTATTAGCTCTGGCAATCACTAAAATTGACCATATTTTTATAACTAAAGAAGTTCTAACATACATGTAGTTCTTTATACAAGCAGTTGAAAGTCATAAACATATTGTTACGTGAATGCATTGTACTGAGAACTCAACCTGTTCCTTCAGGAGTGAAAATATCAAGAAAAAAAGGAACATCATAATCCACTTGAAAAGATGCGCCTTACTAGAGACAACTCATAAACACAGGTTGACAGTACAAAGATACAAGCTATGTGCAAAATAACTGTGAGACAATTTGAAAAAAAGACACAATGGTGAAGTTATGTAAAGCTAATGTGTTAAATTTAGTCTGAAGGACAATGGCTAATATGCAGGAGAAATAGTGGTAAAATACTATCCTGGCAACTGTGTACCAGATAGACTAAAATCAGAAGTATAATACTAATACTGATCATATCTAACACTTATAGGCCTCTACTAGTTGACGGGACTGGTCTAAAATGGCTATGTATATTATCCTTTTCAATTCTCGCAGCTGTGTTATTGTTATCTCATTTAACAGATGGAAAAACAGAAACACTTAAACAAGGTCTGATTTTTACAGTAAGCATCATAGGTGCAACCACTATGCAGGTAAACACAAGCAAAATAAATTTCATTTTCTAAGCAAGTCTTGATCATCCAGAGAAGTCAATAATACTCATTCTGCAAAGAAATTGATTTATTACTTTTTAATGTTTTATTATGGAACATTTCGAATCAATATAATAGAAAGAACTGTATACTGACTGACCCCCCACATGTAATCAATCTTGACTTGTCTACTATATTTCACTCATTTTCCATGCTCCTTCCTCATTATGTTGGAATAAATCGCAAACGTTATATCATCTTCATCATCTCTAAATAGTTCAGTATGTATCTCTAAAAGATAAGGACTTTTTTTTCTTCTAAACATAACCAAGATACCATCACAAACCTTAAAATTTACAATAATCCCTTAATGTCAAGTATCAATCAGTGATCAAAGTTTCAATAATATACATCACTTTAATTTATTTTTAAAGAAGCAAGGTACAATTCAGGATTAGGGATACAAATGGTCATCGTATAGGTAAAGTTTGGGTCTCCCTTTGGTCCCCACTTCGCCTGGTTTGGGATCAGGTACCTTTATTGATGCTGTGCCCTCCCCTCTCACCCCAGCAGTGTCCCACTACTGCCAATCTCTTTCTTATAGTATTATGATAAATGTTCAGGGTCCACTTATGAGTGAGAACATGTGGTTCTCTGTTCTTTGTTTCGGTGATAGATCACTGAGTATGATAGATTCTAAATCCATCTAAGTTGCCACGAAGTCCATATGTTCGCCCTTCTTTATGGCTGCATACTATTCCATTGTGTATATGTACCACAATTTTTTTATCCAGTCCAGTTTTGATGGGCAGCACGGTTGGCTTCAGGTTTTTGTTGTTGTGAATAGTATTGCAATAAACATGCCTGTGGAGGTATCTTTTTCGTAGAATGAATTGAGTTCCTCCGGGTACATCCCCAGTAGGGAGGTTGCTGGGTCATATGGAAGGTCGACGTCTAGTTCTTTCAGAAATCGCCACACTGTTTTCCAAAGAAGTTGCACTAGTTTGCATTCCCACAAGCCACTTTAATTTTTCTTGAGAATTTGCAATGCGCTCGTATCAGGCACTTTCGCATACACCAGTTCACTTAAACTGCCGCTACTTGCATTGCTTTTCTCCTGCCTTCCCAAAGGAAGGACGTTTGTCTCTACCCGAGGACTGAGAGCCTCCGCCCCGGTCTCCCCGTCGGTGTCCCTCCGCGTCTCCGGCTGTCACCGCCAAGTCCCCAGCCATTTCCCGGAGGGCGGGGGCTCCGGGCCCCGGAGCCGCTTTCCGCCGCGTTCTATTCCTGGACGCGGGGACGCCGGCTCCACCCCGGTTGCCTAGGCGACGAGGGGCCGCGTCTCTCCGGCGAGATCATGGCGTTGTCGCGGGGGACGACTCCCGGGGGGACGACTCCCAGAACCACGCCCGAGTCGGAGGTACGCCACCCTTTCCCATTCCGGTCCTGGTTTCGGTGACCCCCGTGCGACCAGCCCCCTCGCCAGCCCCCACCCCCCGCCGGCGAGGTCCGCAGCCGAGTCCAGGCCCCTCCCTGGGGAGGCGCCCCGTGTCCCGCCTCGGCGGCTCAGCGGCTGGGGCGGGCGGCGAGGTTGGGAGCGCGTCCTCGGGTCCCGGGAGAGGCGCGGAGGTTCCAGGAGAGGCTCCGGGTCCCCGACACCGGCTTCTGCCTACTGCCCCCCAACCGGTTCCGGCTCATAGCCATGCGTTTCTACCTCGACTAAAAACTTTTTTTTTTTTTTTTTTTTTTTTTAAGAAAATAAGTGATCTCGGATCTTAAATTGAGCCAGCCCCTTTTTGAAATTGCTACTAATTCGGTAATGATCACATTTGCGATTGCTCAAAAGGTGTCTTAGAATAATAATTTCTTATTGGCAGTGGACTGATTAATGTTGGGAAGGCTGGGATTGGTGTTTCCGTTATTTTGCCATTGTTCTAAACAAATAAATACATGGTAGGAGACAGGGCAAAGGACAGAGGCTGGAAAATCGTTCTTCTGATTATGGGTTTAGTTTATCGTCAACTTGTCTTTAGGAAAGTTGTTTCATCTGAACGCCAGCGGCCTTCTGTGTAATAAAGGTTGTTATCTTCAGGTTCCTCCCACCACCAACTCTCAATAATAATAACTTTTAGGTAACTTTACTCACAAATGTAATATACTGAGTTGTTAATTAAGAACACATCTGTCACACCAGATATTACAGAAAAAAAGAAAAGGGAAAAAGAAAAACAGTTTAAATCTTCACACACACAGTATATCATATTGCTCCTAGAACAGTTTTTCTCAGGTGAATAATAATGTCATGATTAACACTGCTTTGCTTGACGTCCTTATTAGTTAGTCTAAACATTCTCTGTGCAGAAAATAAGTATTCTTCTGCAATTTTTAAGTGAGAAAACATATAGAGCCAATAATTCCATGCCTTGCTCAGAGATACGCAAGCTGTTCCCAATCCAGATCCCTCCCAAAACTAAATGCAGACCACAAAGGCATGCAGACTCATCGCGTCTTCCAAAATTAGCATGCATCAAAAGTACATTTGAATGTGATAAACTGGTTACTAAGCCTGTAACTCCCTTGTGTGATCTCTAATGTAAGTAATATAATTTCAAAAGTCTCAAAGAAAATTTTCCAATTATATTGCCATTTAAATATATGCAAAAATTTGTGAGAATGCACAGTTGTTGGTGTACTCATACGCAATAAAAAATACCATAATTTTGTTTAGGATGTAAAGAAGTGCCAGGCTTTAAAAAAAATCACTTTTGCAATGATTGAGTTAGATGAATGAGCTAGTTATAGACCTTAGATGATTATCTACCCTTTTAGGACTGTCAACTTACACATATGTTAACTTCTTGGAGGAGCAGGTATTCCCCATGACAGGCAATTTAGGATGTACTCAACCTCAGTAACAAACCGAAGAAATCAAGTTGTAGCTTGGATTCAATTAATAGTGCTCATTTACTAAGATAACACATTAATTCGCCACATGGTGGAAACTCCATTTTCTATTCTAATGAAGGCAGAGTTCCTGTAGTTCATAGTGAAGACAGTTGATCCATAGAGCTGTACCATTCATTAGAATGACAAGTCTTGTCTGCCACCCATTTCTGCTGACTGGGTGTTTCAGAGGTTAGATGGAAAAGATGGCAAGTCTCTTGTAGTCTGTTCCCAAGGCCTCTGCTTTTTAGGTAGATATTGAAAAGTTCTCAGATCAGATTCTTTCCAGTGTTGGTCTCCCAAGAACTAATCCCTTATGGTGTCATTTCTAATAAATTCTCTATCTAAATTGACTTAGCCAGTAGACCATGTAGTCAACTGAGCCAAGCAGTAGTGAAATATTTCTTTTTCTTGCCAAGTCTATCAGAAATAAAGCATAAGATTCCAATGCTATTTTCCAATAGCTTGTCTCCCATTTGTTGCTTGTGGCGAATACTTAAAATAAAAGCAATTATCCCAATCGCATAGTAGGCACTCAATAAATTATGATAACTAATTAAAATCATGGGTGGTCTGTAGCATGCCAGGAAAGATATTTGTCATAGACTAAAATCTACCAGATGAGATACTGTGAACACACAGACATAAGAGGCAGATCCAGGGAATTTTTTTTTTTTTCTTCCTGTGACATTGTCAAAGTCCGGCCTGCCAATTTTCTGAATTCAGCATCTCAGGTTGTTTACCAATATTGGAGTAAATGCCTCCTTTTAAATGGTAAGACAAACTTTTGGCAAATATCTGTATGAATGCATAAGAACAGAGAAAAATGACGAAAATCAGAAAATGTTTGCTATATATAGATCTGTAAATGAAAGGAGTTTATAAATGTATCCTTAGAATTTAGTATCATCAGAATTTAGGAGTTTATACATGTATACTTAGAATTTAGTATCATTTAGAATTTAGATCAGTCTTGTTGCAATAATTTGCTCATAAACTGACTTTTTAAAATATCCTCAAAAGTATTTGGAGAATAGAATCATTTAAGTAGTAAACTAAAAGGAATATACTTCAACTCATATCAGAGATCTACAAGAAAATGCAAATGATTGTTTCCCAATTGCTTCTTCTGAATAATATCTATTAAAGTGATACCACATCTGAATATGTGACGTTTACTCAATGCATTTGGTGTTTTATCAGGACAGAAGGACATTTGTTTTAAAGATCACTTGTTGGTCAGGCTCGGTGGCTCAGCCGTAATCCCAGCACCCTGGGAGGCCTAGACGAGTGGATTCCCTGAGCCCGTGGGTTCGAGACCCACCGGGGCAAATTGGCGAGACCTCATCTGTACAATAAAATTTTTAAAAAAATAAGCTGGGTGGAGTAGCACATGCCTATAGTTCCAGCTGCTTGGACAGCTGAGGCAGATCAATTGCTGGAGCCCAGCAGATAAATGATCAGGTTCCTGCAATATCGATATCATTCAAGAAATATTTCTTGAAATTATGCATAATTCAATGTGAATGAATATAGTGGGATCACCTAGATCAAACTGTTCAGGCATTAGGGGCAATGCAAAAACAATCACTTAAAATATCATTGAGAAAAACTAACGGACTTCAAAATGTTAGTATATGGTAGTAGTGTTTATCAGACACTTAGAACCTCTGGTAAATACTACCATGGACACGGAGATGTTGACAAACCCTTAGGCTTGTCTTTGTTCTCACTGTAGGTCTTTAGACTGACCGTCTTGTTTAAAGTCTTGCTCTTCCTCTCCCTCTGTCCTCCTTCTCAGGAGGCACAAATAAATCTTCAATGTTTTTCTAATATTTATACTTTTATTTTAATGTCAGTCTGTAACAAGTTTAGAAATAACTTTTTATGTACTGTGTATATTTGAAATGAGAATCTACACTTTTGTTGCCTTCTAGAGGTGAATCAGCAATGATGTCAGCTTTATTTACTAAATTAGCTACCTTGTCTCTTCCCGTTGACAACAGACTGATTGTTGCTATCACATCATACATAGACATTCATGGACATAAGAATGGACAGACTAGTCAGCAGAGGGGATAGAGAATCCAAAAATTTATATATTTATTTTAAATGTTATATGTGTGTGTATATATATATGTGTGTGTGTATATATATACATATATATATATATAATGTTTGGATTCTCTCACTCTTTCCACTGACACGTATGTCCATTACTGTGTCAATATCATACTATCCTATACTCAGCTTTAAAATCTATTTTGGAAAAATCTCTCTCACTATTTTTTCATTTTGAAACGTATGTATTCTTCCATAAGAACTCAAAAATTATTTGTAAAGTTCCAAAATAATCCCACTGAGATTTGGTATTCTCATTGCATTACTTTACATGTCATATGAGAAAATTTTAATTTTTTGAATTTGAAGGTTTTCAATAAATCTCTTCTATCAAGTCTTGTTTTTAAATTTTTGATGAAGTTGTATAGTTTCTTTACATAGGTCCTAAACTTTTCTTATTATATTTTTAGCCAAGTATAATTCAATCAAGTTTTTACTATTTCTATTTCTAATTAGTTTCTTATTTAGAGAAAAACTTTTGTCTTTTATATATTGATGTTATGTAGTACCATCTTACCAAACTTTTTATTAACTTTTTTTTTATTAGTACAATGTCAACTTTCTTAGGTAATCTTCAAATAAAGATTTTTAATTTTCCTCATTTCTAATGCCACATATTTCATTTTCTTTGTATTTGGTAGAACCTCTAGAGTGTGTTGAATTACAATAATTTTATGAGTTAGAATACTTTTCTAGTTTCTGGTTTTCATAAGAATAACTTTAGTGTTTCATCATTCAATATGATGTTTGCTCTTGATTTTGGCAAACCATCTTTTTCATGTTTAGCTATATTTTTTCTTATTTTACTGAGAGTTTTGCTGCTGAATTTTAGTGACTTTATTATTTATTTAAATAATCATATAATTTGTATCATTTAATTTGACATAAAATTATGTTAGAGCAATTGATGTTCTATCCTTGGATTTCTGAAATTAATCTTATTCAATCACAAGGGTAGTTTATTTTTCTGTTAGTACATTGCTGGATTCACTTTTCTAAGATAGATTTTAATTACAATATTTGCATCTAAATTGGTTAGTGATTTTGGTTTATGATTATCTTTTTTGTTAGTTCAGGGTTTATGTATACACTATGGTGGCTCCTTAAAAATGAATTACCTACAGTCTCTAATGGTTAGACTAACATAGAACTTATGTGTTATTTGATTATTATGTGAAACTTCAAGTGTAAAGCCATCTGAGCATGGTGACTTTTGAGAAAGTTGACTTCCAGTTAAGTTTATGTTTGGCCAGGTAAATTTTCTCCCTTACCCCTGGTCAATTTTAATAACTTACATTTTTTTAGGAAATCATTTTTCTCTGAATTTTCAAATGTGCTGTCACTTCATGTAGCATCTATTCATTTATTTTTTAATCACATTTGTCAAATATTTGCTTGAGTTTTTTCATTATTTTTAAAGAATCAGCTCTTGATTTTATCCATTCTTCTTTCACTTATTATTATTACTTTTTCTCCTTTCTAAAATACTGTCTTCTTATTTTCATAACAAGACTTTCTTCTTATTTTCATATCAAGACATGAGACGAGTGAGGCACCCTCCTTGGACACAGAACTTAAGGAGGTACCCCAAAACGCAGTCATCAAGATAAGTTATACATTCATGCAACACTTCAAAAAAATCAAAATTAATGCCTCAAAAATTCATGATGGATTACAGTTTTAAATTGAATCTGTACTACTGATTTTTCCTTTTGCCTCTGGCTGCAATATGGCACTGCAATACACAGCACTGCTCCATAGTTCATTTATTTTCAGACTCAAAAAAAAAAAAAAACCCTTCCAAAGTTTGGAATTTTCAGACCAGTCTAGGTTCTCTGTGACTAGGAGATTTCTATTTAGTAATCTTTGGTGAAATCTATTCTCTTTCTTTTAGTGAACACTTATTAAGAATCTTTTTTATATAAAACACTACCTGGATACAGCAATGCCCCTGGAAGCTTACATTCTACAAAGAAGACATATGTACTAATGTGAAAAGTTTAGGTGACATTAGAAGGAAAGAGAAACCAGAGAAAAGATTATCTGGCAAATAATATTAGACTTACAATTTTATTGCTCTTGGAATGACTGCTAAAATCCACCAGGTGGTGGAGTAAAATGAGTTAAACAGTGCAATTTAGCTTACATATTTCCCTAGTTGGAGATGTAATCTTACATAGAAAGCCACAATCACATATTCACATTTTTAGCCTATTTATTAATTTTCTATTATATCTTTAAGTTGTACAAACCAGAATGTATGTGTTGAAAGATTAAAGATTTTTAGCAAATTGATATCCTGTCAAATGCAAGGCAGTGTATAAACAAACAAAAAAAGAGGTCTGGTTTAAAATAGGTCCAGAAATACAATTTGAAACAAAAGAAAAAACCCAGAGGCAAACTTGCCATAAAGATGATTATCTTAAGCCTGTAATTTTTAGTAAAAAAAAGAGGCACTAATATGAGGCATCTTAGCTAGAATTATTACTGTCCAGAAGGATAAGATTATTGTATTCTCTTTCACACAGTTCTTGTGTGACCTACTTTTGTTCTGTCCAGAGATTTTTTAAATCAAATAAATTGATCTGAATGTCTGTATGATTCACTCTTCATGTATATCTTTATTCATTATTAATAATGACAGCAATCTTGTATGTATTAAAACACATAAAATGATTTTTAATATGAATTCAAATTTAGGTTCAAATGACTTGCCTTAAGTCATAAAATTAATCAGTAGTCAAACCATGATGCGATCACGCGTTCCTCTAAGTCTTGCTTTTCATCATGCTCCACTATCTAACAATGTCATCAGTTGATGAAGATGGATTTAGACAGTCAGTTAGCAACTTATGTTGACATATTAGGATCTGTGGAATTCTAAAAAGAAGTAAAAGATTGAATGACTGTCCCTGACGAATTTATAATCTAATGGGATCAACTGTACAGGAATAATGATACTTTACTGCTAATAAAAATGTTTACAACCAAAAATAGCTAAACAAATATGTAGCCATATATTATAGATCAAAATGCTACTGTATGAAAAAGCTGAGCCTACTTATTTCGAGTTATAAGTATCTGAGTGCCTACTAGGTACGAGGTATTATATTAGGTACTAAAATATTATTTTCTTCATGAATTTATTATCTAATAATATGACCTAGTTTAGGTTAATTTGCCCATCCTAGCTTACAAAAAGATGACTAATAAAGTAGCATATTTTGTTATTAAACTAGATTTTGAAAAATACAAATATAACATAATAACCTAACATTAACTTACATATATTAAGTTTGGTACGATAACTAATAAGTGTTAGCTTTGAGATTCTTCTACTCTTGGAAGAATTTGGCATGTTATCTGGTAAACTATAGTAAAGCATGTCCTTTATGCTCTTATTTAGTGGAACACATTCAATAGCTCAATAACTGTTTGTTGAATTGAAAAACATTTGTCCTCTTTTCATCCAAAATCACAATCCTTGATATTCTTGTAGCTGCTGCTGTCTTACCTCTATTTCTTAATCTCCTCCTCTATCTCCCATTCACAGTTCTTTCCTTCATTCTCTGTCTTTGGGCAATCTCATCCCTTCTCATACTTGCTGTTGACTCCTAAACCAACATCTTTAAACTTGAGCGTTCACTCTAGCATCTTTAATTAGTCTCTAAACATTTTTTCCTTGCTATGAGTATTGCACCTTAAACTCAACCACCAAAATCAAACTCATCATCTTGCCTTTTTAAACTAGCATCATCTTCTAACACTCCTACTTCTCTTGATATAATAAGGATACCATGTACAGTTACGCAGTTTGTACTCTAACGAAAAGCACTTAGCTGAGGGTGAGTGGGAGCTAAAACTAGACTCTATTCACATGCAATATATTTAGGTACAGGGTTGCATAAAACTTAGGCAAGGTTTTTTAGCACTTTCTCCATCCAAAAAAGATGTCTTTGTCTGACTCATCCAGAGGTGGCATATGTATTATTAGTATTACCATCTTTTTCTCCAAGTCACCTATTTCAGAAACTCAGAATCTCCATTCTCTTTTTTTAGTCACCTATAACATGATTGCATTCACCCATTTCTTTTCATCCACCCTACCAGGAGGCCAGAGCAGCCCAGTATTCATCCCTGAGCTACTCTAACAGCTTCTTCTGTTAACTCTTCCTCTGTGTTCTTTCTCTGTTTCTGTCTTTCCTTCACCCTGCTACAGATTACCCCTCCATACAGCACAGTGTTATCCTGTCATTTCACTGCCAAGAATCTTCATGGACTCCCTATTGCCTGTATTATTAAGAACAAACTCTTCAACCAGTCATTCTTCAATCAGCCAGGGTCTAAAATATTTATGGTCCCACACACAATATCCTTCATCTTGTAAGCACTCAGTAAATATTTATTGAATCAGTAAATTTCAGATCTCCCATAATATGTTCCCAGTGCCCATTCCCACCTAAGTGCATACCCTGATGCCATTATGAACTACTTGATGTTTATAAAACTGGTTTCTAACCTTTCTGTCTTCATAACCTTGATGTTGCTGATTCATTCACTCGGGGCATTATCCACACCTAACCCACAAAATCTATTCCTGAAACTCTTTTCCATCGACTTTCCTTGTTCTCTCCCTGGTCTTTGTCCTTCCTTTTATACTGAATGCCACATTTATTATGGTGCTCTTATCACATTCTCTTCGTGTTTTAAAGTCACTCTTGATTTGTTCCTTCCACCACATGTTAAGTTTCTTGAGGTTATCCAGTCTTTCTTGCTTGCATTTGGCCCTTTTTGAACTCCAAATATATTGAGGAATATATAGACATTCAATCAATATTTGTTGAACTGAAACCATCACCCAGTTTTACACATGACCCAAAGGTCGATTGACTAGCTATTTGACTTTTCAGGGGAAAGGTACCATCACATAAAAATGGAAAAGAAAAATGATTATCTCAAAGATTGCTGTTTTAAAATTATTTTCCTGGAAACAGCTAGACTCTAAAGAAGAATAATTTTTGATATAATTGTGTTTAATATTTAAAACAAATGATTGAAATAACTCATTACATTTTTTTTTGGTAGAGAGATGCCGAATTCCAAGAGCATGAAAAGATTCTGTCTCCAGATTTCCTTTCAGTTGCCCAAATCACTGATTTGTTAACAGAGGACGTCAATGGTGTTCAAGAGTAAGCACTTTGATGATACAGTCAAATATAGAACAGTTATAGTTCTGCATTTATAAATGATTGTGATTTTGCATTTATAAATGATCATGATATTTTATCACATATTTAAACTTTTAAAAAATATTTGTTATTAAATTGGGCATCAAAGTATATACATAGACTCTGGAACACAAAAATTCTCAAATAACTGATTCTTTTTACTGCTCAGCAGTCTTCCTTATGGGAGAAGTTTGTTGCAAACCAACTTGTTAATATTAGCCATGAGTAGGGCTTTATTGTAAAAAACAGCCTCTAACATATGCCATCATCTACTTATTTTCTCTTTCATTCATATAACTGTCAATATGCACAGGAACCTAAAAGGCCTTCTGCCTCATCATAAGAAGAGTAAATTGTGTTTTCTTAATAGCAATGATCAATATATTTCATTATTTTGGAAATCTTGAACATTAGCCATCCACCTGTGCTTCCAAAGTTCTCTGATTGTATATATTTTGCTTAAAGATGTGAATATAGCTGAATTTATGGGCAATAGTTCTATTTTATTTACATCTCATTCTTTAGACCATTTATTTATATAGTAGATCATTATTTAGAATTTTTGTCAGCAATATTGAAGAACATAATTTCCTTAAAAGGTGTTTATAGTAATCACCCATTAAAAAAAACTTTCTCACTTTAGAAGACGTCTCGATTGGCCATCTTATGTGGAGAGTAGGAATGATGTCACATGCTGGACTGTAGTGTCCTGGTATCAAGTCTCTGCAGGACAGTCTCAGGACACTGGCAGGGTGTTATGGGCCATAACCAACAAAGAGAAAATGATTCTGTTAGTGATTATCATTGACAAATCTTACAAATGTTATAGAATAAGGATGTCCTACTACTGAGAAGGAAATATGACACATGTACTGGCTGAAAGAGAAATCTGAGAAGGGAAGGCTTTTCCCAAGATGTCTTTCACCACCAGCACTTGCAACTCTGCTAGATATAGAAATCTAGGAGCAATCTCTTCAGGTCCCCTCCCACTGTGGGAGCTTTTCTGTCCTCTCAATAAATCCTGCTTTCTAAAAAAAAAAAAAAGGAAAGAAAGAAATGATGATCTATGATTCGGCCATACCACTTACTATCTGCATCTTTACAAGTTTAGTGAATTTAAAATTTCACAGATTTTAAATGAGTATCTCCTAACAATTTTACCCTCTTTATAGAAATTAATGTTCATTGGGAATTCTGATTCCTAGTGTGAGATTTGCTAAGTATTCGTTGCATTAATTCCATTGATTATTATTAAGTAAAATATTATTTTCCATGTCCAGGTAACCCCAATGTCATTGGTCATTGCAATACTAAACAATAGGTATTTAATCCTAGGCAAAATAATACAATGCAAATAACAGATATTGTATTAAATGTTCAATAAAAGGTGTTATGTAATAGAAATAGTATTAAATAAAGGACGTTGTTGTAAACAAATACTATTTAGAATTATTTCTTTCCACATTGTAAGCTGTGCTGTGTGTTGTGCTTTGTGTGACAATATTTTTTTTTAATTATTGACTTTCTTTTATTGTTAAATACCTAAATTTTGAAAATACTTTAAATCTTTCAGTGGTGAGTCCTAGGCCAAAGTAAATGATACAGAAAATGCTGTAGAAATTAGCAATGTAAAAACAGTCAGGTTCATAGCAAACAGGTTGACCTTTTTAGACTATCCCATTAATATAGAAATCACCTAATGTAACCTCAAATTTAACATCATCTTTGGATAAATAACATCACTTTTATGTTAGGAGCCATTTTTTTGCAAAGAAATTTTCCTGAGATTCTTCATATGATTTTTGAACCAGTGATCCTGAAATATTTGCAATCACTCACTTTCATTTTAAAATAGCATTATTATAAATGGGGGCTATATGCTTTTCAAGATGACAGAAATATAATTGAAGTATCCTGTCACCAAGTGACAGAAGTATGTGAAAATCGTAGAGTGGACAAAGTTATAAAACTATTTAAATAAATTGTAAGAAATCAGCAAAAAAATTAAAAATTGTTCTCCATAAAAGCAGCCAACCAAATGAAACATTAAAGTATCATTAAAACATATTTCTCAAGTATTCTTTAAGTAGTTTGATGTCTGAGTACGCCTCATAATCTCTTAGTTGCTTTCAATAGTTAGTATTTTAAAGTAACACTGACTTTATTTACATATCCATCCTAAATTTTTTTAAAAGAATGAGGACTAAATTGGAAATAACTATAAAACAGAAAAATAACACTGAGCCATCTTTAATAACCTTGCTGTAATTGGGTCTCCATAAGTTATTTGGCTCTTGCCTTAAGGCTTATTTCTGCATGTCATCATATTTAAGAAGTAAAATGCAATCCAGTTTCAAGAACATGCAAGAATAATAAAATATTTTTACTGAAATTCTTGATGAGACAAAGTAGACAGGTGCATCACCTATCATCACTATAGCAAAACTTTCTGAAACACAATGAAGCCTCTTTTCCCCCCTACATTTTCTCATGCTATAGTTGTGGCTATTGTGTCCCTCTCCCCTTCCATCCCTCCTTTTCCCCTGAGAAAAGGTTTACATGTTTGCTGGTAAAACACATGGAAACTTTGCATTCAAACTGCAGTATCTTGCTCCAAATGCCCCCGCTCCCCGACATAGTCTCCGCTGGAATGAAATGACTGAACAAAGAATGGAACTGATAAATACTTAACCCTGTAGTACAAGTTAAAGGGGAACATTCAAACAGTGCTATGGGAAGTAGTGGAGAGTGGGAGCAAGTGGGGAAGCAAAGGTGAAGGAAGATCAAAGAAATTTCGCCATAATATTCTTAGGCAAGTAACTGCTTTCATTCAAACACAACTACACATTAAAAAAACAAAATAAAAAACAAAAAACATATGCAAATATTCAGGCTGAATATCTAATTAAAAATACATAGCATGCAGATGGCAGATGAAGAGTACACTGAGAAAGAAAACTAACTGCTAGAAACAGAAGGAAATGTTAGGTAAAAGCTGATGATTAAAGAGGGTATTAATTTCACAAAACAAGACATTAAAGACGAGATGACAAAATATGCAGATATGAAACTTGCAGAATGAAGACAAGGAACCAAGGATAAAGAATGAAACCAATGTAGAATTTACCTTGCTGAAAATCAAGTCAGTAATGTAGAAGACAAATTTAAGAAAGGTTACATAAAGTGCAGAATAAAGCAATTAGAATGTGTTAGAATATACATTCAACATAGTGAATAAAAAATAATATATACTTCATAAAATAAAAGCTTTGATTTTAAATATTTTAGTAGAATAAAACTTCATATATTGTCCTATCTCTGGGATAAAGGAGGAAACCTGCAGAGGAAAATAATCAAGCTGTTCTCCGACTTTTCTTTAGCAGCATGAAGCAGCAGAAATCAGTAGTGACAGCAAAATTTAGGAAGTCAAAAGAATGTACTTGTAAAATATAATACTAATTTGAGTTGTTTAGTTAAACTGGCAACAAAATATTGCAATATATGGAATAACTCAGAACATATCATGGTATCTTTGTGGTCTTATTGAAAAATACACCTCACCAGCATCCCTTCCTGATAAAAACCCTCAAACACCTAGGTATAGAAGGAGCATACCTCAAAATAGTAAGCACCATCAACAGTAAACCCAAAGCTAGTATATTGCTAAATGGACAGAAACTGGAAGCATTTCCCCTGAAAACCATAACAGACAAGGATGCCTACTCTCACATCTCTTGTTCAATATTGTGTTGGAAGTCCTAGCTAGAGCAATTAGACAAGAGAATGAAATCAGGGGTATCCAAATAGGAAAAGAGGAAGTTCAGTTATTCATCTTTGCTGATGATATGATCCTATACCACGAAAATCCAAGAGAATCTGTCAAAAACCTGCTTGCACTGATAAAGGACTTTGGCAGTGTCTCAGGATACAAAATAAATGTGCAAAAGACAGTCTCATTCTTATACACCAGCAACAAGCAGGAAGAAAACCAAATAAAGGGCACAATCCCATTCACAATAGCCACAAACACACACAAAAAGAAATACCTCGGCATCTCCCTAACCAGAGAAGTGAAAGACCTTTACAATGAAAACTACAAAACACTGCTCAAAGAAATCCAAGAAGACACAAACAAATGGAAAAATATTCCATGCTCATGGATAGGAAGAATCAACGTTGTTAAGATGTCCATCCTACCAAAGGCAATCTAAAGAATCAAAGCAATACCTGATAAATTACCAACTTCATTCTTCTCAGACCCGGAAATGACAATACAGAAATTCATATGGAAACACTAATGACCATGGATAGCCAAAATAATCATTAGCAAAAGAAACAAAGCAGGAGGTATCAAACTTCCAGACTACTTCAAACTTTATTATACGGCTACAGTAATCAAAACAGCTTGATACTGGTACAAGATCAGGGATATAGAACAATGGAACAGGATAAAGATTTCGGAAACAAACCTTCAATTTCTCAACCATCTCATCTTTGACAAAGTCTCCAACAACACTGGGGAGAGGAAAATCTGTTCAGTAAATGGTACTGGGAAAACTGACTGATCACATGCAGAAGATTGAAGCAGTACTCCTATCTATCACCATACACAAAAATTCACTCCAAATGGACCCTCAAATTATAAGAATCTTAGAAAATGCAGGAGATGCCCTTATGGAAATTGGAATTGGCAACCATTTTCTGACCAAAATCTCAAGTGCCCATGCTATAAGAGGTAAGATAGACAAGTGGGACATTATCAAACTAAAAAGCTTCTTTTACAAAGCAAAATAAACCATCAAGAGAGCAGGGAGACAGCACAGCGATATAAAACTCAAGGAAGAGATAATAGTTTAAAGGTTATGACATTATATGTGTGTGTGTGTGTGTGTGTGTGTGTGTGTGTGTGTGTGTGTGTGTGTATTTGAGTTGGAGTTTCACTCTGCCATCCAGGCTAGAGTGCAGTGGCATGCTCATGGCCATCCCATCATTGACATGCTAGGTCTAGGTGATCCCTCCACCTCAGCCTTCTAAGTAGCCGGAACTAGAGGCGTGTGCTACCATGCCCAGTTAATTTTTTGATTCATTGTAGAGAAGAGATCTTGCCAAGTTGCCTAGTCTGTTCTCGAGCCCATGTGGTCAGGCAATCCCCTCACCTAGCCCTCCCAAAGTGCTGGGAACAAATATTTTTAAAAGAGTAGAAAAGGAATTTGAGGTAAAATATATATGTCACCCAAGAGGAAAATGACACCGCTGAGAAAGCTCTAGGCGACATACAAGACAGTAATGAGAGAAGTATCCAAATTGAAAAGGAAATAGATTTGAAATATTTTTGAAGGTTAACAAGAAAATATAACTCTAGGAAAAAAATGAACAAGACATATATAATTGGAATTTTTTTAAAAAAAGAGAAAATATTTAAAAATTTAGTTCCAGAACATTTTCAGAAATAAAAGAAAGCTAATTTTATAAATGAAAAAAGACTTTGAACTGCAGAGGGAAAAAAAAATACTGTAAAGTTACTATACATTAAAGAAAGAAGAAGGAAAAATGAGGAGGAGAAGGAGGAATAAGAAGAAAGAGACAAAAACGTGTGAATGCTCTCTCTCTCTCTCTCTCTGTGTGTGTGTGTCTCTCTTTCTCTGTTTTTCTTGTGAATGTCATTTTGATCTAATGAATCTTGAGTATTTCAGATTATGGGTATTATAGGATCTCCATTCAAGAAAATATCTGTTTTCAAAACTTTGACTAGGAACTGTTCAATGTGCAATCTGATTGAATGTCTGGATTTTTCTTTTTGTTACAGAAAACTAAGAACATTTTTGAATTTCCAAAATCTTGAAACTTGTTTAAAGGATGCCATTCTACTAGATTATTATGTATCTGGATTTCTATGGGCTAGAGGAATGGACTTTTCTATTATTCAATATTCAAAATTTATGACTTTACTAGATATGTTACTTCACAATCTTAAAAGTAAGTATATTATTGTTTTTGGGTTTTTTTTTTTTTAGAAAAGGAAATTTAGTTTATCATTTTAATTAATTTCTAAGCAAAAATTTGTGATTTTATTGCAATTTCCTTAATAAAAATATGGATTTTCTTCCTGATTATTACACAAATTTAGTTCATATCTTCATTGGCTTGTAAAACCTCAAATAATACTTAACAAGTTTAAAGTTCTCTTAATAATAAATTTGCCAAAACTATGATTGTTTCATTTAAAAATCTTTTCAGTGCCATCCCCCTTCTAAATATTTGAGGACTCTGTGATATTTTTGTAACTTTTCTGTAAATCTAAAATTATGTTGAAGCTAAAAGTTTATTCATAGGTATTAATCTATCCCTAGAATGGAATACTATGCAGCAATAAAAATGAAAAAATGAAGAAACTGGCTATTTATTATATGGGAGATTATATATTGTTACTGAATAAACCAAGGCACAGAACCATGTGTTTTTATTTATAAAATAAACAAAAATTTATACATTTTATTGGTATATACACATAGAAATGCTAAAATAATACAGCAGAAAACTAATAATAAAAATTACCCGTGGGAATGGGTAGGGAGAACTGGACATGTGAGCAGTAAAGACTGGAGAAACTCTTTTCACAATATTTCTTCTTTTTTTTTTATTTAATCAATGTTTTTTTATTATGGTTTTGTGGGGTACAGTTAAGGGTTAGGTGTACAATTAGGTTTCATTCAGGTACCCTGTTGATAAGAGGTGTTTTCCTATCCCCAGGCAGATATTTGCTACTGTTAATCCCATCCCCCTCCCCCCCATAGTTTCCCAGTACCGTCAGTCATTTTCTTATAGTATTACATTGGATGTTCAAGGTCCATTATATGAGTGAGAACATGTGATACTCGGATCTTTGTTTCTGTGAGAGGTCACTCAGTATTATAGACTCTAGTTCCATCCAGGTTGCTGCGAAATTCATGATTTTGTTTTCTTTATGGCTGCGTAGTATTCCATCGAGTATATGTACCACATTTTTTAATCCAGTCCTCTTTTGATGGGCAACATGGTTGTTTCCAGGTTCTTGCTATTGTGAACAATGCTGCAATAAACATACGTGTGCAGATATCTTTTTTATAGAGTGATTTGAGTTCTTCAGGGTATATTCCCAGTAGGGGGATTGCAGGGTCATGTGGAAGGTCGCTTTTTAGAGCTTTTAGGAATCGCCACACTGCTTTCCACAAAGGTTGTACGAGTTTACACTCCCACCAACAGTGTAGAAGTGTTCCCTTTTCACGACACGCTCTCCAGCAGCTGTTATTTTTTCAGTTGCTGATAATTGCCATTCTGACTGGAGTTAGGTGGTATCTCAGTGTGGTTTTGATTTGCATCTCCCTGATGATTAGTGAGGTTGAGCATTTCTTCATGTGTTTGTTGGCCGCTCGGATGTCTTCTTTTGTGAAGTGTCTGTTCATATCTTTTGCCCATTTTATAATGGGGTTGTTTGTATTCTTCTTTTCGGTACGTTTCAGTTCCTTGTAGATCAGGGATGTTAAGCCTTTGTCAGACCTAGAGTTGGCACATACTTTTTCCAAGTCTGTAGCTGTCTCCCTGCTCTCTTGATGGTTTCTTTG